GTCCTTGGTAGGGCATGGGGCAGCCTGTGTGAGAAGCTGTCTTGGTGACAAACTCTGATGACTGGCCAGAGTTTGTCCCAGACACATTCCCAACCTGAGGTCCCCTGGGCACAGGTTGCTGGGGGAAGGGCCGTGGTGTTAGCAGTCAGGGTGCACACCCCCGGGGGGGTTGTTTCTGGAGGGCGCCTGGCTGGGGGCCTGATGGGGAGCTGCCGAGTGGGCCACCTTCTCACGCCTTCGCGGGGGCTTCCCAGGCCGTGGGCCGGGGCGGAGGGGCGCCTGGTGGGTGACTGCATCTCCCCCGCCAGGCAAAGGGCCTCTGAAGAACTATTACAGCCGCCTCATCTGTCAGAAGGGCTTCCAGCACATCCAGGTCTGCACCCCATGGCTGGAGGCTGAGGACTACCCCTTGCTTCTGGGTAAGAGTATCTGGTGGGAGGCCTGCAGGAGAAGGGAGGGCTTTACAGGGGAATGCCCGAGAGCAGCGGGCCTCCTGGGGGCTCAGTGGTAAAGAACCTGCCTGCCAATGCAGGAGACAGAGGTTTGATCCCTGATCCGGGAAGATCCCCTAGAGAAGGAAACGGACACCCACTCCAGTATTCTTGCCTGGGAAATGCATGGACATTCCCAGAGGAGCCTGGCGGGCTGCAGTCCATAGGGTCACAAAAGAGACCCGACTTAGCAACTAAACAGCAACAAACAACCTGAAGGCTGCTGCTGCTGCTGAGTCGCTTCAGTCATGTCCGACTCTGTGCAACCCCACAGACGGCAGCCCACCAGGCTTCTCTGTCCACAGGATTCTCCAGGCCAGAACACTGGAGTGGGTTGCCATTTCCTTCTCCCAGTCCGAGGGCAGGGGACAGTTTTTCTGAAAAGGGCCAGATGGTAAATGTTTTACTAGCTTCTTTTGCATATTCCCTGTTTTTATAACTCTAAAGATTTAAAGTCATTCTCTGCTTAGGGGCCCTCCACACGCAGGCCTCAGGCTGGGATGGGTCCTGGCTGGACTCCTGGAGACAAGGCAGTTTCCTGGGGCGCCTGCTCTTCCCTGTCTGTTTGCCAAGGTCCCGTCTGAGTGCTCTGGGGCTCCACGTGACCCAGCTCAGTCCTGCTGTTCCCATGGGCAGAAGGGCTGGGCTGGGCTGGGTTAGGGCCACTTCCCAAGTCGGGGAGGTGCAGACACAACAGTGCGGACTCAGCCAGTGAGGACAGCCGCCCGCCTCTTGCTGTCTTCACCCCTCGGGGAGAGCTTGTTGGCTCAGTGCTGATCGATCGCAGCATCTACGTAATCATCTCGGGCGGGACGTCCCTCTGCAGGCAGCAGCTCCCAGGGTGCTGGGTGATACGAGGGTGCATCCTTGGTTCTGCCTACACAGTGACAGCTGTTTTTCTGTTGGGTCTGCTTTGGGTTCTTTCTGTAATTATGGTGATAAAATACAAACAAAAACATGCCATTTCCCCACTTTTTAATGGTGTGCAGTTCACTGGCACTAATCATGTTCACGGTCTCTTATGGTCACTGCCACTGGGTCTTGCCAAAACATTTTCATCTCCCCGAGCAGAAACTCTGAACTCAGTAAGCAATGATTGCTGCGACTTCTAAACCAAATTGTGGTTAAGGAGGAAATGAGGGTCTGTTTATATAAAAACATTGGTGACGGCCCGGAGTTCTCAGAAAGGGCAGAGCAGACAGGAGCAGCAGGTGGGAAGCACCCCTGTGTCCCCGCCTTAGGCCAGGCCACTCGGCCAGCTCCAGGCATCCGGACGCGGGGTTGGGGGCGTGATTGGCCCGTTTCCTCTCCTCCCCACAGGTCTCAGTACACGGCCCTGTGGCTGCATGGTCACCGGGCGTGCAGCCAGCACTGACCTCGCCCTCGCCCTCACCCTCACCCTGCAGGGTCTGCAGACCTGGGTGTCTGCCTGCACCTGTCCTCCAGCGGCCTGGACCTGCCCATGAAGGTGGTGGACATGTTTGGATGCTGCCTGCCCGTGTGTGCCGTGAACTTCCAGTGGTAGGAGCGAAAACCCCAGTCCACTGGGTTCTTATGGTCACTGCCACTGGGTCTTGCCAAAACATTTTCATCTCCCCGAGCAGAAACTCTGAACTCAGTAAGCAATGATTGCTGCGACTTCTAACCCAAATTGTGGTTAAGGAGGAAATGAGGGTCTGTTTATACAAAAACATTGGTGACGGGCCCGGAGTTCTCAGAAAGGGCAGAGCAGACAGGAGCAGCAGGTGGGAAGCACCCCTGTGTCCCCGCCTCAGGCCAGGCCACTCGGCCGGCTCCAGGCATCCGGATGCGGGGTTGGGGGCGTGATTGGCCCGTTTCCTCTCCTCCCCACAGGCCTCGGTACACGGCCCTGTGGCTGCGTGGTCACCGGGCGTGCAGCCGGCGCTGACCTCGCCCTCGCCCTCACCCTCACCCTGCAGGGTCTGCAGACCTGGGTGTCTGCCTGCACCTGTCCTCCAGCAGCCTGGACCTGCCCATGAAGGTGGTGGACATGTTTGGATGCTGCCTGCCCGTGTGTGCCGTGAACTTCCAGTGGTAGGAGCGAAAACCCCAGTCCACTGGGGTTATATTCTCAAATCGGCAGGTGGCGGGGTGGCAGGGGTGGCGGGGAACAGAGTGGTTAGAATTGCTGGGAAACCTCCTGGGAGGGTGCCGCTTCTGATCTGTGCAGCTCAGCCACCCCAGGGGAACAGGAGCCCCTGTGGTCCCTGTGGGCGGGCTGTGCCCCACCAAAGGGAGTAGCTTCCACTTTGATGTTGAGTAAAAATGATGAATCAGATACTCTTTGGGGTTTTGGCTTGTTGGCGGGATTTGCCGGCCTGTTTCCCGGGGCTTTTTTTTTTTTTTTTTCCTTTTTTTTTCGGTTCCGTTGTTTGGTTTGGGTTCGTTTGATTTTTTTTTTTTTTTTTCTGCTCTTCTTGGAAAAGATGGGCAGGAGAGGGTAGTGTTAGAAGAGGTTTAGGTGCAGTGGCCCCACCATGAGCGGAGGGGCCAGCTTCTAAATGGGAAAGCCAGGATGTTAGGCTCTGGGTTCACATCATGTTGGGATCAGCTCCTGATCAGTTCTGAGCCTGCCTCCAGTGTGGTTGCCTTTTACCTGATTTCTCTGCTATGGAATTAAGAAAAAAAAAACCAGAACTCACCAAGAAGAGCACACACAGCACAAAAAGCCCAGATGCCCCTTCACTGCCTCTCCTTCCCCAGATCAGTGTGAATTCTTAACACGTATCCTTCCAGGTCGTTTTTCAGTTCAGACGCTGGAGTCTAAGGACAGGCTCCCTGAAGGGAAGGACAGACTGTTCCTGACCCCCGGCTTAGCCCGTGGGTGGGGTGGGTTCTGTTCTCCTCCCGAGAGCTCTCACACCCCCCGCCATTCTCTCTGCAGCTTACACGAGCTTGTGAAACATGGGGAGAACGGGCTGGTCTTCGAGGACTCGGAGGAGCTGGCAGCTCAGCTACAGGTGGCGTTGTCTGTCTGCCCCACACCGGGGCTCGCAGCGCTCTGGTGATTTGTTGTTCCTGCCGCTGGGCGGGTGGGCCTGGGCTCGGTCTGGCTGAGGGAGCAGCAGTCTCAGATGCTGGGCCCCAGTGGGCCTGGGCAATCGGGGCTCGCCCCACCTGCCATCTGGGTGTATGGAGCTCACACCACACAGATGATGCCAGAGCTGAGTGGACTGTGTGCTGTTTAAGGGGTACTGGATGGAGGAGGGAGAGGGAGGCGTGAGGGGCGCTTCCTGGACCAGCCTTGCGAGGTGGGTGGGCATCTTCAAAGGGTACTTATTTCTTACTACAAATGATAAAAAGGAATACGTCGTCTTTCTTGACAATTGAGCCCAAAGGCAAGAAACTTTGGAAAGGCCCAGAAGGAATTTTAGACTTTGCCATAGTCTCTGTCAGAACAGCTGAACTTTGTTGTAATGTGAGAGCATCCAGTCTGAATGAAGGGGCGTGGCCATGTTCCAGTAAAACTTTGTTTACTAAACTAAGTTTTATTGGACAAGCGGAGGGCTGCAGGTGTCCCATAGGCTGGCATCTGCAGACACCTTAGTTTAGCAAGGTTGCCGAGAACACAGGCGTCGCCTGGATCTCACGTGGGCAGGACGGTGCTGGGCAGACGGCGACGGGGTGGTGCTCCTGGTGGGAAGAACCGCAGAGCCTGGCGGGAGCAGGGGTGGGGGCTGCTGCTGTCACGTCCGAACTGCAGGGGGTGGACTGGGCTGGGGCCGGAGGGCTCCCCTGTGTCCCGTGGGAAGGGGGGGCTTGCTGGGTCGGGGATGGGGGGTCAGAGCTGATGAGAAGGGTTATCAGCCAGGCCTGGTGGGGAAGCTGGGCCAGATCGGGAGTTTCGCTGGAGCCCCCGGGACACGGGTGGTTCTGCAGGTGTTGGGGAGGAGGGGGGTTTCAGTAGGATGACGGGTGCCTTTCCTCTTCCTCCGCAGCAGCCCGCCGGCTCCTGTCCTCGCGGCTGGCGCTGCTGGCCGGATGCCGTGGAGCGGCGCCGCCTGGTGGACGGCTCCTGGAAAGACAGCAGTGGGTACTGCCTGGGGAATGCAGCTCCTGTTGGTAATCGGGGGTTGGTGGCCCGGGAAGCTGGCTCAGCCTCCTTTCTTCTTTGGAGGCTCTGAATTCCTGCTCTCTTTTCTTCTGTCTTCTGTGAGTCTTTCCCCCCTCACTTTATGAGGCTTGTGGCATCTTCAAGATCCCTGTTTTGTCTCCTGCTGCATTTGCCGAGTTGTGTCCCTGATATTTTGATTCCTGCCTTGAAAACAGGCACTACAGGCCACCCCTGCCCCACCGCTGGCCCCGGGAAGGGACCCTAGGATGTATCCTACATGCAGCATGGCTCTGTGAGGGATGTGTGTCGAGGTTGGGGAAAACACACTTGGTGTATGTTTTTATCTGCACAAATGAAATGCGTCTGAGCCAAAAATTTCACTTCTGACTTAACGGCGATTTGCTTAAGAAATAAGCCAGCTGGCAGAGAGAGGGTACCCACACACTCGAGCAGTTTATATTTTGTTAGAACACTTTATGGCTTCGGATTGAGAATTTAACATCTTTTGAACATTCAAGTCCAGTGGAAGTTTTATCAGATTCTTTCCAGGACAGTGATTTGATTTTCAGGTTGCCCTTTAGAACCATCTGTAAAAACTACAGCGTTAGTTTCAGAATCACCATTTCTGAGTGCTCTTCGTAGGGAAACAGTTTCTGGTCGTGACGAGGCACCTCTTCCCACGGGATCCCAGCCCGGCCTGGAAACAGAACAGACACATCTCAGGGTGCTGGGGGTTGGGGGTGGGATGCCACCCTATCAGGATGGGGCTTTGGGACAGACACCCAGAACCAGCCTCCAGGTTGGGACCAGGAACCCCCTTGGTAAGCAGCTCACAGCAGCGAGGTTTCCTGTGTCTGCCCACTGGGCCGTGTGCGTCCCTCAGAGGGTTGGTTCCCCATCGTTCTCTGCCTTTGTGCTCCACCCTCTCACTGAGCACAGGTCAGTAGGAGCCGAGGTCTGAACCCACATCTGCCTGACCACTCAGCCTGGTGCCTTCAGAGGTTGGGCCTGTGTCAGAGGGGCTTACGTCCTCTCTGTAAGCACGGATGTCTGACAAGTCCCTGGCATGGGTGGTTTTGTCATCAGTTTTTTATGAATGAAAAAATCAGTATTTATAAAAATGAAATACTAGACATACTGTGTTAAGTTTCATGATCCTGCTGTCCAAGTATAACATGTTAATAATGTTAATTAGCATGTATGAAATTCCCCCATGTGTGTATTAATGTGGTTATTTTTAAAAATAAAATAGGCTGTATATGCTGCGTGTGTGTGTGTGTTAGTCACTCTGTTGTGTCCGACTCTCTGCAACCCCATGGACTGCAGCCCATCAGCCCCTCTGTCCATGGAATTCTCCAGGCAAGAACACTGGAGTGGGTTGCCATTTCCTTCTCCAGTGTGAATTTTAGTAGTAGTATAGTCTCTAAGTTGAGTCCAACTCTTGCGACCCCACAGACTGTAGCCTACCATGTTCCTCTGTCCATGGGATTCTCCAGGCAAGAACACTGGAGTGGGTTGCCATTTCCTTCTCCCATATGCTGCATACATACGTATACGTATACAGCACATACAGTATATGTATATACTCTATATGCTGTTTAGTACTCAGATTTCTTCACTTAAAATACAGCCTGGAGGGGACTTCCCTGGTGGTCCAGTGACTAAGACTGTGCTCTCAATGCAGGGGGCCCAGGTTCCACCCCTGGTCAGGGAACTGGATCCCACACACCATAACTAGAGACCCTGCGTGCTGCAACTAAGACTTGGAGCAGCCAAACACATATTAAAAAATTGTATTAAAAAATAGAGCATGGATATTTTTTCTTGTAAGCATCTGAAAAAAGACTTCATTGTTCTTTGAGGCCAAACACCCTGTCAGTGGGACAGGGGGGTGGGTGCTGGTCATCTCTCTTGGCAGAGGCACCCGTGGGAGGGCTTTGCTTGGTTTGGGGGTGGGCTTGGGGCTGGTGCAGGGCTCTGCACAGCTGTCTGGTCTGTGTGGGAAGCCCTGATGACACCTGGCACATGGTTGGGGATCGCAGGGCGGGGGTTGTGGGGTGGTGGGTGGAGACTGCGAGCTGGGTGCCTGGGTCTAGTCCCTGGGTGCTTGGATGATTAACTTAGTCGCCCTGTACCCCAGTGTTTTTCTGGGTGAGACAGGATGATAGCAGCCCTATGCCTCCACCAGGTGCTAGAGGGGCTGACACAGGTCAGGTCTAAGGACAGTGCCCCCCCCACCCCCCGCAGCTGAGTCAGGCAGACCCCCTTTCTCTGAAGCACCCCCGACTCTTCCATTTACTGTGTGCTTGATCCAGCGATGGTGGCCGCCGCTTCCCCGAGGGCCCCCTGCCTGCCAGCCCTGTCCCACCTCCGAGGGGGATGTTTCCGCTGTACAGTGAGGACCCGGAGAGAGTGGCCCAGCTCCTGTCTACCCTGATACTGGGTGGCGTCCACCGCCCTGTCCGTTTCACAGATAAGGAAAGACTGAAAGCTCTCAGAAGCCCTAAACACACAGTAGGACTGCTGCTCTCAGACTTCCGAGGTCACTGCATAAGCTGCCTCCCTCCTCCCCTGCTGACCTGGGCGGAGGGGCTGGGTGTCTGTCCAGCACACCATGGTCTGGGGCTTCCTGGTTTGTCTCCAGGTTGCCCCCTGCCCTTCTTTTACTTTCCTGGTTTCTGCCCTCCCTGGAGTACTGTGTGGGGCCAGTGCAGTGACACTGCAGGCCTCTCAGAGACAGCAGCCTGGCCTGGGGCCCAGGGCTCACCCAGCTCCGTGGTGAGCAGCTGGCACGTCTCCGGGTTGCGGATGGTGAAGGCAATGTAGGCATCAGGAGCCCGCTGGTCCTTCTGGCAGGTCGAGAGCTTCCGCAGGACCCCAACCAGGGAGAGGACCGTTTCAGGACAATACAGCACGTCTGTGATGGAAACCCAGGTTACTGGAAGGGCTCCCTCAGGATGAGGGCCTCCGTGCTGACATTCAGGAGATGAAGGCCCGGGAAGCAGTGGTTTAATTAGGTTTGTGCTCTTGGACGGTAAGAAAATTACGTTGGGTAAAAACAGAAAACCTTAGCAGAGCAAAAAGGCTGCCGAAAGACACAACACGTGAAAAATATCCAGGACTCACTGGTGTTCCTTTACAAGAAAAAAAATCCATTCTTTGCCCGTGGCCTGTTTAGAAGATGCTTAATGAAGCAAAGCTGAGTCTGCCCCAGGCTTCTGGTTCCTTCCAGTGGGGACAGGCGCCCTCCCGCCCACCAGCTGGGCCCGCGGGGGCGCGCTGCTTAGACTCCATGCTCTGCTGCCCTCAGCCTGGGCCTCAGGGCCGTGGCCAGGCCCGAGTGCAGCACCACTGGCCAGACGGGCTGGGTGAGCTCGGTGGAGGAGGACGGGCCTGTTGGTGGCCAGGCCACACGCCACTTTCCTCAAAGGCCCCGTCCTTGCACCAGAAGTGGGTGGGCCCTGCTTGTGGGGCTCTTTCGTGGACCCAGGACAGAGGCATACAGGTAGCGCCCTAGGCCTCAGATGCACAGGTGTGCGTGGAATGGACGTGGGGCCCCCAGAACCCCTTCCCCGACCCGCGGCCTGGCCCAGAGCACAGGGAGGAGTCGGGATCAGGTCGTTGTCCATGGTCCTGGAAAGATGCGGCTGCAGCGGCCACTTCCGTCCCCATCTGAAGACAGGGGTGTAGGTGGGGCCAGCCCGCTGGGGCTACTCTGGCTTTCTCATCTGTGTTCTGGAAGAGACTGAGAGGCCTCCCTCAGGCTGCTGGAGAGGGACCTGAACTCTGGCCGCTGGGCTGTGCCTGGCTAAGACTGGTCCCACTGGTCTGGTGCCCTGGGGCCTGTTCTGTTCATTCACACCTTGCTGGGCAGAGCTGGTTCCTCCATAGGAGGGACCATTCGCGTGGGAGGGCGTGTGGCCTCTGTCTCAGATGGGGCGGCTGCGGCCTCGGGGCACCCAGGAGGCACGCCCTGCGCTGTGCGGTCACCCTGGAGGCCCATACAACCCAGGTCCCACCATTCCTCCCTCCAGGCAGCGTCCACTGCCCGCGTCCCTGCTGGGAGCTGGGCGGTACCTGCGGCGAGGACGACGTCCGGCTGGAAGGCTGCGAGCTGCGGCGCTGTCACCGTGTCCCAGTCCAGCCGGGCCACCGTCACCTGGGGGCGCTCTGCCTCGGTGGTACGGGGTCCCGGGTGCTGCGCCCGGGCGTCCATGCCTGGTGCCAACGAGAAGCCATTGAGAAGGACGTTCCCTCGCAGCTGCTCCAGGACGCGGCTGTGACAGTCGCTGAAGATGTACGCGCTGGGCCGGCATGACTTGCAAATGGCCAGGCCGGTGAGGCCGGCCCCGCTGCCCAGCTCTAAGGCCGTCCTGGGAGGTGGGGAGAAGGCGCTGTGTCCACGGGTGTGCGGCAGCAGACCCCCCCTGGGTCCCCGGCCCTGCGCCCCCAGCTGACCTGTGAGCGAACACCTCTGGGTTCTCCATGGCCCACTCGGCCAGGTAGAGTGCGGCGTTCCACGTGACCAGGCCCGTGGTCCCATGGGACACGATGGCAGTGCTCTCGCAGAGGGTGACCGAATCACCCGAAGGCTGGGCGAAAACCAGGACAAAGAATTACTAATTAGGCAGCCAGGGCGGGCCTGGGGCCTCGGGGGCCACGTAAGGAAGTAGGATTGGAGTCTAAATGTGATGGGAGCTGCTGGCGGGTTCTGAGCAGGCGGGTGATACAACTCTCGTGTGCTCAGTGTGTCGGTGGACAGAAGAGGGAGGCAATGTGGCTCGAGGAGGACCCAAGCCAACAGGCATTTTCTGGAAAAGCCCAGGCACCCACCTAGGAGGGAACTGGCCTGCTCTGGTAGTGGGGGCAGTGAGACACCTGGGGCAAGGCCTGTAAGGCCACTAGAAACACTCAGAAATGTGTGATAAATGAGAGAAATCAGCATTTCAGAAATAAAGGCTGCTTGAAGGAACGTAAGAATAAAAATAAAACATAAAAGCAGATAAACCCTTAAGTATAATTGCTCAGTTGTGTCTGACTCTTTGTGACCCCACGGATTGTAGCCTGCCAGGCTCCTCTGTCCACGGGATTCTCCAGGCAAGAGTACTAGAGTAGCCATTCCTTTCTCCACGGGATCCTTTCAACTCAGGGATCCTGGGTCTCCCGTATTGCGAGTAGATTCTTTACTGTCTGAGCCACCGGGGAAACCCTTAAGAGAGGACATGAAAAGCAGCGAAATTAAGACATTGTCACAGGTTCAATCATTTCCTCCCCAAATTTGTATGGTGAAGTCCTAACCCCTGGAGCCTCAGAATATGACCTGTTTTTGGGCCTTTTTTTTTGTGATGCTGTGTGACTTGTGGGGTCTTAAGTTCCCTGCCGGGGGACTGAACCATGGGCCCTCGGCAGTGAAAGCGCAGAGTCTTAACCACTGGACTACCGGGAACTCCTGGAGATGGGGTCTTTATGGAGGGAATCAAGTTAAAATGAGGGCATAAGGACACACACGCAGGGAGAAGACGGTCGTCTGAGGCCCAGGAGACAGGCCTGGAACACATCCCTCTCTCTGTCTCAGAATCAGCCCTGCCGACACCCCTGATTTTGGACTTACAGCTTCCAGATCAACATTCAAAAAACTAAGATTATGGCATCTGGTCCCATCACTTCATGGCAAATTGAAGGGGAAAAAGTGGAGGCAGTGACAGATTTTTTCTTGGGCTCCAAAATCACTGAGAACAGTGACTGCAGCCATGAAATTAAAAGATGCTTGCTCCCTGGAAGGAAAGCTATGACAAACCTAGACAGCATATTAAAAAGCAGAGACATCACTTTGCCAACAAAGGTCCCTATAGTCAAAGCTATGGTTTCTCCAATAGCCTTGACTATATGGACATGAAGTCATGTACATGTGTGAGAGTTAGACCATAAAGAAGGCTGAGCACCGAAGAATTGATGCTTCTGGATTGCAGTGCTGGAGAAGACTCTTTAAGGTCCCTTGGACTGCAAGATCAAACCAGTCAGTCCTAAAGGAAATCAACCCTGAATATTCATTAGAAGGACTGAGGCTGAAGCTCCAATCCTTTGGCCACCTGAAGGGAAGAGCCAACTCACTGGAAAATACCCTGGTGCTGGGAAAGACTGAAGGCAGGAGAAGCGGACGACAGAGGATGAGATGGTTGGATGGCATCATTGACTCAATGGACATGAGTTTGAGCAAGCTCCTGGAGATAGTGAAGGACAGGGAAGCCTGGCGTGCTGCAGTCCATGGGGTCGCAAAGAGTCGGACACAACTGAGCAACTGAACAACAACAAAGTGACATGATCTGCAACGGATTGAAGCCCTAATGGAATGACAGGAGACCAGTTCACTCTCTTTAAAGGGGAAGAGTCAAGTCTATATCTGGCTTTTCCTCCACAACTAAGTATGCAAAAAGGAGGCTTTTCCTTACAAAAAACCTCTCCAGCTAATGAAAACAAAATGATTCAGAAAGTCACTCTTTTACATCCTCCAATGAATTAATGGGTCTAAGCTTTAGGCATCTGTAAGTGCTACCACGAAGCGGATAAAAACAGGTGATGAGCCTTCCGGGACCTGTGCAGTGTTCTTGCTAAGGGATCAAACAGACAAGTGTCCCAGTGAGCCTCCAAATCCAGCCTCCAGCTTGTGGGGAACNGCGGGTGAGACTTCGTCTTAAGTCTCCTACGGGCTTCGAGTGAATACAGGGCAAACCCCAGTTACCCGATCCTGGATTTCTGGCCCTGGGTGATCCTCATGCAACTGAAAGAGTAAGAGATCAGCCCTTTCCTAAAAATATTTCTCCACTACAGTGGCACAAGGAGATCAAACCAGTCAATCCTAAAGGAAATCAACCCTGAATATTCACTGAAAGGATTGACGTTGAAGCTGAAGCTCCAATACTTTGGCCACCTGATGTGAAGAGCCGGCTCATCGGAGAAGACCCTGATGCTGGGAAAGACTGAAGGCGGGAGGAGAAGGGGACGACAGAGGATGAGATGGTTGGATGGCATCACTGACTCAATGGACATGAATTTCAGCAAACTCCAGGAGATACTGGAGGACAGAGAAGTCTGGCATGCTGCAGTCCATGCAGCTGCAAAGAGCTGGACACAACTGAGTGATTGAACGACAATGCTGGCACAGACCACGGCAGTGTTTCTAATGCTCTTTCTGGGCAGAACATGGAGCATATGGACACAAGCTAACACCCTGCTATAGACTGAATATCTGTGTCTACCCCAAATCGACATGTTGACTCTAATACCCAAGGTGATGCTATCAGGAGGGGCCTTTGGGGTGTGATTATGTTATAAGGGTAAAGCCTCCATAAGTGGAATTAGTGCCCTTTTAAAAGAGACCTCAGAGAGTTCCTTCTGCCCCCTGAGCCATGTGAGGACATGGCAAGAAGACAGCCCTCCATGAATGAGGATGTGGGCCCTCAAAAGACACTGAATCTGCTGATGTCTTGATCTTGGACCTCCTAGCCTTCAGAACTGAGAGAGAGAAATTCCTGTTGTTTATAAACCATGCAGTGTGTCGTGTTCTGTTATACCAATACTAAGATATACCCCTTAGTATGTCCAAACCCCACCTCCAAAAAGCAGGGGCCCACCCACAACTAGAAAAAGACTCAGTGGACAAGATGTGCCTGCTTATTTTCCCTTTAAAAGTAAAGAAGAAAGTCTCTCAGCAGCGAGAAAAGGCTAGGTGTACCTACAGCTGTCATCCCTATTTCCTCTGTGGATGCTTTTAAAAAACATCCCCCAGATTCCCTCCTCTCATGCAGCGTATTGTGTATTCTGATGTCTTTATCTAAGAAAACAAAAGAGCTTGAGTTGTCTGAGGCGCTCACGCCAGATGTAATGTCTTTCTTTTTAAAGGATACACGCGCACCCAGGGTGCTTCTGTTACCTCTTCACGGGGAAATCAGGCCAGTGATGCGTTCCAGGGATTCTGTGATTCTTACCTTCTGCAAAATATCCAGCAGCAGCTCAGAGCCTGATGAGTCCCTTAGTTTCTCTTCTAGGCTCTATCCAAAGAGAGAGAGGCGGTTAAGAGAGAGAAATCTCAAGGGCATTATCGCAGGAACATTAAACATGCAATAGGACATGTTGGCAAAGTGCTAAGTGATCTCTCCCCAGGGACCTGGGGCCAAATGATGCAGAAGCCACAGGCAGCTGAAAGCCTGACCTTGAGAAGTCCCGAGTTACACCTGGATGAGTCACAGAAAATGTCAGAAGACAGGCTGCTGGTTTGCATCAGCCATGGCCGCTTAGTCTCACCTGGGTCTCACAGACCAGCTCTGTGGCTGAACTGGTCAGCCAGGAATTACGGGGGGGCCATGGCCTTAAGACCTGACGGGCTCCCCGAGACCTCCCTGTGGCAGGCAGGCTGCTTTACTCTGCAGGTCACAGCTTCTGTGTCACCTCCTTGGAAGGCCTTCCTGACCCCCAATTTGATACATTTCTGTTTTATTGACTTTACAGCCACTGTCATATCCCCGTGCTTTCTTGCTTATTCATTTACTTGTTTATCCTCTGGCTCTCCCATGTGGGCAGGGCCTTGTCTGTACACTGCTGATCCTGGTGCCTAGCTTATGCAAGGCATTCTGTAAACATGTGGTGACAGAATGAAAACATGAGCTAACCCATATTCATGTAATCCTGGGACTTCCCTGGTGGTCCAGTGGTTAAGAATCCAAGCTTCCACTGCAGAGGGCACAGGTTTGATCCCTGGTCAGAGAACTAAGATCCTGCCTGCTGGTGATGAAGCCAAAAAACAAACAATCGCCATCCCCCACTCACAGATTCATGTAATCATGACAACAGTCTTATGAGGTTATATCATTATAACCCCATTTTACTAATAAAAATATGAACGTACAGAGAGACAAAGTCACTTGCCCAGGGTCACACAGCTTGTGGGGAGTCGGCCCAGGATTCAAAGCTGGCAGGCTGTCTCCCAGATCTCAGCTCTGACTTCTTTTCTAGTCAAACCAATGACAGCAATAATCCCCACCGCATGGGTGCTGTGGGTGAGCCTACGCCAGCACTTAGCATAGGCCTGGTGAAGAGGAAGCACTCATTACAGACAGTATGCATGGGGCCTCACAGATGCTGTTACGGAAGTTTAAATTTTGGGTTAAAAAAATGTACATATTCCTTTCTGACGGGAAATGATCTCCTAGGANGAAGCACTCATTACAGACAATATGCATGGGGCCTCACAGATGCTGTTACGGAAGTTTAAATTTTGGGTTAAAAAAATGTACATATTCCTTTCTGACGGGAAATGATCTCCTAGGATGCCAAATGATTTATGTCAGTGAAAGAACACAGATGACTGATCTCCCCTCTTAAGACCGGGCAGACCTGGGGAGGGCTCTGTGTCCAAACTGAGTCATCCCAGTGAGCTCACCGCACGTGAATTACGAAGGACGCAGTGTCACTGAGCCCCTGCCTTGGCAGAATAAAGCTTCTACCCCGGCCCTGAGCCTGTGTGCAAATGGCAGGTCCCCAGGGCAGGGTGAGCTTTTCTGTCTCTTTTCGGGACTGTTTTGTACCTCCCTGCCTCTTCCATCAGCTGCCTCTGAGAGGACCTGTCCAAAGCTGCTGATACACATGAAAAGCTGGAGGCCCGAGAGGGCCTGTGAACTGGTCACTGAACTCAACACAGCGTGATCTCCCGCTGTCCTGAGCATGCTGGCTGTTTAAACGAGCAGCAGCAGCTGTTACCCAATGGCTAGGATAACAGGTTAAAAAACCTTTTTTTTAACCAACTGTCCATGACCCTAAAAAACCCAAAGAAAAGGAGAGCTGGGAGGAAATCTCACATTCCTCCAAATCGTGGGGCTCTGTCTGCAAACGCGGTGAAGGGCGGCGAGGGTCCAGCGGAAGAGGGTGCTGAGGGCTGAGCGCAGGGTGGGCCCAAGGGCGCACCGGTGGAGCGCCTGCCCCCTCGCCGCCAGCTCGCGCGGCCCCGGCAATCCCGGGGGACCGGACGTGCTGCTTGGACCAGCGAGGTAGCAGAGGCCATCACGTGGCAGAGAGGGCGGGGGTGTGAGTCCGGAGACCCGCTCACCGCGAACCCCCGGCGTTCCCCACCCACCTTCCGAGCCCCTTGCCGCCAACCTGCCAGGGGAAGGAGCGTAGTGCGCGCGCCGCCAAGAAGCGGCGCTCGAAACCCCGCAGCAGGCGAGCAGCATCCGCTCTCTCCTCGGGCGCCATGGTGGGGCGGGGCCGCGGCGTTGCCCCGGAGACTAGGCGGGAGCAGGGCTGTGATTCGAGGCGGCACGAGGCGGCGCTCGGGGCCGGGGTGGGGCTCGGGGCGGGGCCAAGAGCCGCTCGGGCCCTGGGAGGCGGGGCGCAGAGCTCAGGAGGCGGGGCTTAATGAAGGAACCTGTTCAGGAGGCGGTGCTGTTCAGCAGGTGGTTCGTGCGGTGGTGGGCGGGGCGTCGAGGGGAAGTTGGAGGCGGGCTCTGGGCCTTGGAGGTGGGGCCACGGCAGAAGGGGGCGTGGCCATGGCTTCGATGAGGGCGGAGTCAGACTTTGGCGCCAAGTTTCGCTGGGCGGGGCACCGAGGGCTCCCGGGAGAGCGTTCAGTCAGGCCAAGGGCTAGGTAATCCTTCTCGTTGTTCCAGCACTTTTTGGCAAGGCCCCTATGAGCAGAAGCGTCGTCCCTTGAGCCTTATCCTAGCCCTCCTCCGACTCCTCTGGAACTGTGGCCTCAAGCCCAGCCTCGGGTGCGAGGGTCGCCTCCGGGCCTGTGGGCTCAGCCCGCCGCTGCCCTTTCTCCCCTTGGCCAAGGGCGCTGATGTGAAGGTGTTGATTTGCATCTTTACCTCAGCCCTGCCCCGTACACGGAGGGCGAGGAGAGACCGAGGAGAGCAGCAGGCCCCTCCAGGTTGGTCAGTGGCAGTTTTAATACGTGAGGGAGCTTGCTTAAGAGGCTTGTGTTGGGCACTCAAGATGAATAGACCCTCACAGCCTCCTGGCAGAACCCTAACAGTGTATGTGGAGGCCTTCACAGGGGCCAGTCAGCACATGGTCCAGTGTCTCCTCAGCGCCTCGCTCTCTCAAGGCTGCATTCCTGAAACAGCTTCACTGTGGGAACCATGGGCAAGCCATACTTCTGAGGGCGGGAGAGGGATGAGGAGGCCCTGGTTGCCTGGGTGCAGCTAGGAGGCTCGCCTCATTACCCAACCAGATTCATTTGCCAGATGCTGAGACGCTGAAGTTTGAGGCAGAGAAGGGATTTATTCATGAGCAGCCACTCGAAACGAGGAAACAAACCTCAAACCTGCCTCCCTGTGGACAGGCGGGTGAGGGGCTGTGGGGTGTTTATGGGCTAAAGAAGCAGGGTGGTCTGGCACCAAGGTGGGCATGGAGTGAGGTGATTGGAAATAAGTAAAAGGTGAGGTCATAGTTGTTTCATGCAGGGGCAACTAAACTATAGGCTTCTTCATGAGACCATTGTTCAGAAAACAGCAGGTTCTGATGGAGTTTTTGACCCTCTGACATCAAAGGTCACCAAGCTCCCACATGCCCAGTTGGAAGGTTGGTGGTCCTAACCAGTCTTAACCGGCTAGAACTAGACACAGCTGACTCCAACTTCCTGGAAAACAACTTGGGTGAACGTCTTATTGTTTAGGCTTTGGGGGACGTGAAAGTCATTTGTAACAACAAATAAAGTGAACAGTGAAGGCAGACTATAGGTGTGATGGGTTTAACCATGATTACTCTGATTTCATTGATTTCTCCTAACACATAGATAGGAACCCTTGCTTCCCCATATCCAATTAGGGTCTGTCTCTAACCCACAGAGTTCACCAAATACTTTAAGCACAAACTACGTTCCTGGTAGGGCTTCCCTGGTGGTTCAATAGTAAAGAATCTGCCTACAATGCAGGAGACCCCGGTTCGATTTCTGGGTTGGAAAGATCCCCTGGAGAAGGGAATGGCAACCCACTCCATTATCCTTGCCTGGAGAATTCCATGAACAGAAGAGCCTGGCAGGCTACAGTCAATAGTGTCACAAAGAGTGGGACACGACTGAGCAACTAATACCTCACCTCATGTGCCTGGTACTATCAGGCACTGAGGATGCAACAGTGAGAAGAAACAGGAGTGGTTCCCTGTCCTCCAGAGGCTCAGGGTTTCATGGGGGAAATAGGTATTGAACTAATTATCACACAAATAAATATAGAAGCACAATGGCAATATATACAGTGCCAGTGAGCACATGGAACTATTAGGGCTTACAGTGGAAGCTTTGACTCTGCAGGGAGAGGAATCTGGAAGAAGAGTCAGAATGGTACACAGGTGTCGATGGGGAAGAAAAGAAAAAAAGTTACTTCCATTTGACCTTATTATGTCTTGAGTAAAAAGCAGGACAGTGAAAGGCACTGGTGCTGCCCCTGGAGTTTGAACTGTGTTCAGAGTCTCATAAGTTTACCTTCATAAATCTCTTGAAATAACTCTTATTTGGAAGCATCTTGGGAGCTAATTTGTTAAATATGCTTGCACAATGCAGTTGATGGGGACAGATGAGTCTTATTACCCCTTTCAGATGAGAAACCCTTGAGCCCTGCTCAGCTATGAGAACAAGAGAGGAAAATTAGTTCTAATTGAGTGCATTTGTTCTCTTATATCTGTTCTTCTACAAGAACCAAGTGAGCACAGGATCTGACGAAAATTTTCTTTTATTCCATCAACAGTTGATTAAAGTAAAGAGTGTGAACTGTGGTTATTGCTGTGTTTTTACAAGGAATTAAAGGTTTCTGGGTCTGAGATGTTGCATAAATCCTCTGAGCCACAGCATCCTGGGTAGAAACATCTGATGTAAGATATGGTTGGATCTTGGTCCTGAAGGAATGATGTTAGAGCTCGGTCAGGTGTACTGGCTTACTTGTGCTGTTTTGGTCAGCTCTCTGCCTGCAGTGGAGAGTGGAAACCAATGGGAATGGGTCAAACTCATGAATACCAAGCTTTCTATTAACACACATAATAGCTATTAATTACCTTTCCTCTGAGGAACCAAAGGGCATACAGGGTCAATACCAGAGTAAGTGATGCTGCATGATATTATACTAAGATATTAATAAATCTAGGCTTGTCTAGCCTTCCTGATGCTATAGATGGGAGGCAGATTGTGGAAGGCCCTGAGTGGGCCACACCACTGACCTGCACACAGACGATACTTTTTATCTTTGTGTGTGGGCTCTTGGGAGGGACAAAGGTCATAGGTAATATATCTCACACCTAAACCTGGAAGGATCAAGGCATTGAAGGGATTTGTAATGGCCCATGGACCTCACAGATGTGGTGTGTTCAGGTGCTGGTGAAGATTAGGACTGCTATTTAACATAGAAAGTGAAAATTCCAGTGGTATTGATGTGGAGAGAAGCTTTAGGATATACCTAAATAGTCCTTTGAGTGGCAGAAGACATGCATATATGCACATACTATAGTAAAGATTCAACTTCTGGATTTGAGGCTTTCTTTAATAATGATGGTGATGGTGGATGATGAAAAACTAATACATTTTAACTATATGAAATGGTTATCTTTTAGAAATTATGCTGTGGGAATGACCATTCAATCAGTACCTTGAGGTTTTTCCTTTCTCTCTTCTACGGCTAATGGTTTCTGCAGAAAAGGACCAATTGATTTCTTTCTAAACTGTTGCTTCAGGGTATAGAGACTTTTATAGGTTATGTTTCAACTTATAGGAAAATTTTATAGTTCAAATATAAATTACATTAAATGTGGGCTTTGTAATGGAGTTAAGGTTAAGTAAAGTTCTGACTTTCCTTAGGCTGTTTATGGTGTTCAGGAGGCCTCCATGCTGTTGAGACAGGAGCTCTTTGAAAGCAGAGGCATGGTCAGGATTGAGTGTCACAAGGGATGTGAGAGGCTCAGTCTTCTGATGTAACTATGGAGATGTAGAAAGCAGTGTATCTGGGCCACTGAGTGCTTTTGTTGATGGGCAGGACCAGTGTTACGGGTTGAACTGTGTTCCCCTGAAAGGATGTGTTGGAAGTCATGACCCCTGGTACTTAGGAACGTGACCTCATTTGGAAATAGGGTCTCTGCAGGTGTAACTAAGTTAGGAGGAGATCATACTGGAATACAGGCGGCTGTGAATTCCATGATTGGTGTCCCTTTAAGAGGAGAGAATGCCATGTGAAGACAGAGATTCAGAGCGAAGTTGGCCATGTGATGGTGGACGCAGAGATTGTGTCTACAAGCCACGGAATGCCAAGGATTGCTGGCAACCACCAGAAGCTAGTAGAAGCCAGGAAGACTTCTCCCCTACACATTTCAGAGGGATCAAGTGAATACCTTGATCTCGGACTTCTGGCCTCCAGTTCCACGAGACAAGTTTCTATTGTTGTAAGCCACCCCAGTATGTGGTGCTTTGTTATGGCAGTGCTAGGAAATGAATGCAACTGAAATGTAGTTTTTGGTGCCCAATGCAAAGTGAAAATGGGGCCTTTGTTAAAAATCAAGATTTTTGAGATCAAACCAAGCTGGGGGCTCTTCTGAGTCCCGGTCTCTGTATCATTGCCCAGACTGCAAGTTCACAAAGATATCCCTGGTTGCTGGGTCCTCAAAGTGCTGGACCCCAACACACTCAGAAAGTGGTTGAAATGGGTTATTACAGTGTGAACTGATCAACCACAGAGAACTCTCAGACTACTCACGTCTTTTTCCGACAAAAGACTGTGAATGTCACACCAGCGACAAACAGAACCACAAGGACTCCTGTGACAACTGTGAGACCGATCGCTGTATTTTGGAGAGCAGATGCCCTCTTCATCTCTGCTCCTGTTAATAAAAAATCAGATGTTTTTAAATGATCTGATTAAGAGGCTGCTCCTGGGTCTCTGGGAAGTTTCCTATCCAGGCACTGGTGAATATTAATTATGGAAATGAAATGTACATTTAACCCAAGAAAGTGCTCACTGTAGAGAAATCTCATAGGGCAAGTCATTGAAAGCCGATTTACTAAATGACCTATTCGCCAAATGACCCATTTGCCTAACGACCACTTTGCCAAATGACCAATTTGCTAAAAGCCAATTCGCTGAAAATCAGTTGGTGGGATGTTCTGCTTATCAATAACGGATGATCAAACACACCTCACCCCAGCCTCCCAGGATTACGTATGGGGCAGGTGTAGGGGCCAAAGGGTTGTAGCAAAATTCTAAAACTTAAAAAGAAATTCTCAATAACTTAGAGAATTGCCATTCATTTAGTTTTCGGCAGAACATCCTGTTTCTAGTAAATTCACATGAAGATTGTGGGTCTAGTTTTTAGTTGCTCAGTTGTGTCCCTGACTCTGTGACCCCCATGGACTGTAGTCTGCGAGGCTTCTCTGTCCATGGTATTCTCCAGGCAAGAATACTGGAGTGGGTAACTATTTCCATCTCCAGGGGATCTTCCCAACCCAGGGACCAACCCAGGCCTCCCACATTGCGGGCAGGTTCTTTACTGTGCGCCACCAGGGAAGATTGTGGGTAGTGGCTTGGCGGAAGGGGAGAGTGCAGGGAGCTGTTCCTTGTCCTCCATTTCGACTGAGTGTGGTTGCTCTAAGCATCTGATAAATCACTGGGCACTGAGTCTCCCCACGGAAGAAATGCTGGTGAGTGTTTGTAAACAGCTGAATTCCCAGAGATGCTTCCTTTCTTCCTTTATATCACCAAGATTTAGTTTTTTGAAGTCTTAAGAATTCTTAACCTCATTTACAGGGACCCCTGCCCCCATGTCTAACCATGAGAAGAGTGCTAAAGCTTTGTTCCTCTCCTGTGAGCGGCTTTCCTCTGGGCACCAGCATGCACAGAGTTGCTGAAGGAAGGCTGCTTTTCAGAATCTACAAGGGGTATCTGGTGGAGGTGGGGCAGACTCTACATGCTTTCTGAGGCTCAGAAGGATTATTGCCTGATTTCCTCTATGGAGAGCTTTCCTTTTTGCCCCGTAGGCACTGTATAAAATGTCACCAACACAGTGAGGGATTTCCTCCTTCATATGCTACCTGTTCACAGCTGCTGATGATAATCTTGTGCTGGGGGCACTGAAGCTGCCAGGAAACAGGATTGTTCTGCCTGATGTTTCCCTCATTCAGAAAACCCCTTTTTGAATCTTTTCTATCTCAGGACAGAACAGACCACACTACCAATCTCTTGGCGGTGGCTTTTGTGTCTTACCTGTGTGCTGGTCATAAGTGTCTACCAGCATTTCCTGGGTGACTGCCAGGGAGCCGTTGTGGGGCTCAGGGGTAACCCCCAGGAGCTTACACATGAGGGGGTAGATGTGGATGCTGTCAAAAGGCTCGGCCAGGTGATTCTTCTTGAAATCAGGCCCGAAAGCTCTGAATATGGTCTTCATGTCCATGTAGACATTATCAAAACCATGATCTCCTTTGTTGAAATATAGTATAATTCGCTGAAAAATAATAACAACAAAACAGTCATTTAAGATTCCAGTCCTCTGAAAGAAAATTTTCCCTTAGTTAATTCCATAGTTGTTAGATACAGGAAATCTTTGAGCACTTAAATGACAAGGAAGGACACTACTCTCTGCAGTGGCAGAGAGGAGTAGGAATGGAAGATCTTTAAGGAAGAGAATAAAGCTCACAACTTCCCTGGTGGCTCAGATGGTAAAGAAGCTGCCCACAATTCGGGATTCCTGGGTTCAGTCCCTGGGTCAGGAAGATACCCTGGAGTGGGAAATGGCAACCCACTCCAGTATTCTTGCCTGGAGAATTCTGTGGACAGAGGAGACTGGTGTGTGGGGTCACAAGGAGTCAGACACTACTGAGTGACTAACACTTTCTTTTTCAAAGAAAATCACACCTGTTAGAAGCAGTAATAAGATAGTAATACTGACAGGCCTAACAGACTCAAATATAGAGGGTTCACTGTGCACCATGAACTGTTCTGAATGTTTTATAAAGTGAAGGCTCTATCCCCATCACTGCCATTTTACAGATGAATAAACTATCCTGAGTCATGAAGTAGCCAATGCTGGAGTAGGTATTTGAACCCAGACTGGTTCTATAGCTAGGAGCATTTATTTTCTTTTTCAAAAATGTGTATTTATTTATTTGGCTTCGCCAGGTCTTAGTTGTGGCACACTCCTAGTTGGGGCTTGTGGGATCGAGGATTGAGTTTGGGCCCCCTGTATCGGGAGCTCAGAGTCTTAGCCACTGAACTAACAGGAAAGTCCCCAGGTATATTGTTGCTTATGGCACAAAATTGCGTATATATTTTTTTGGGGGTGGGGGAAGAGAAGGATTAAAGAGGAGGGTATCAGGACTGTAGGTAATTGTTTAATGAGTACTAGATAGAATTTTGTCTGACCCCTTTCAAGTGACAAAGTAGCATCAGTCACACCACAGCACTGTTTGTATTTTCTTATTTTCTGAGGACCACCAGATACTTTGGCGTGTCAGACACGTGGTCTCTGTGTACTGAAAGGTTGGTCTCATGGTTGTCTTGCTTCCTGTCTACTCAGCTCAGGCTCCCTCCTCTGGCTAAAGAAACCAGTCCAAAGGCATTTGAGGCCATGCTGTGCTCTGGTGCTCAGTCACTCAGTTATGTCCAGCTCTGCAACCCCATGGACTGTAGCCCTCTAGGCTCCTCTGTTCATGGGATTTCCCAGGCAAGAACACTGGAGCAGGGTTGCCATTTCCTACTCTAGGGGATCTTCCCCACCCAGGGACCAGATCCATGTCTTGTGTCTCCTGCATTGGCAGGCGGATTCTTTACCACTGCACCACCTGGGAAGAACTTGATGCCATGGGGCAGCCTGTTAAGAACAGTTAAGTGATCCCAGTAATGGCCTCATGTTCTTTGCAAGCTCCCTAATCATAAGAGAGAAGAGTCACACCCACTCTGCTCTGCACATCAAGGCAGGCAGGTGGGTGGGAATATGAGCAGTGGACTCAATTTAGAGCATTGAGACACAAAAGATTTTCTGTCTAACAGACAGTTTGCCAGAAGATTAAACTGATCACTGCATCCCATCCCTCAAACAATCTGGTTGGTCATGCTGGGAATATGACTGTCCAATTAAATGTCTTATCATCCCTCTTAAACTGTGACATCATTAACCAGGTTTACAAAGAGGTCAGTGCTATGTAAACTTCTTGGCAGGGCCTTTGCTCCAGGCCATGTAGGGGCTTACAAAATACCAATTAAGTTTTGTATTTTACTGTAAATATTTCCACCAATATTAAACAATAACCTTATGAGCTTTCCCAGACCTGTTATACTCTAGAATTTCAGCAACCTAAGAGTATACAGATTGCAAGCATAATTATGATGTTTGGCTTCCGTTCACAGCCTTAGACAAGGATTCTTCAGGTTGTACCTGAGATGGTCTTCTGTCATGTGATATTGAAGCATCACTTAAACTTTGTTCTGTCATGAACTATTGGTTGGTAGTTTAAAAAAAAAGACCTCATGTATGTCTCACAATTAGCATTGATTTTGGTATTTTCTTCTTTAGGCTTCTTATTTTTTTCATAACAACTGTGTTGAGATATAATTCATATACAAGGCAATGTATCCATTTAAAGTATACGATTCAATGGTATCTAGTATATTCACAGAGTTGTGAAACTATCATCACAATCAATTTTAGAACACTTCCATCACCCCGAAAAGAAAGCCTATACCCTTTAGCAGTTACTCCCCAATCTCCCTACAACTTCCCTTGGTTGTAGACAACCACCAATCTATGCTCTGTATCTATAGATTTGTGTATTCTGGACATTTCATTTAAATGGAATCATACATGTCCATCAGCAGACGAATGGATAAGGAAGCTGTAGTACATATACACCATGGAATATTACTCAGCCATTAAAAAGAATTCATTTGAATCAGTTCTAATGAGATGGATGAAACTGGAGCCCATTATACAGAGCGAAGTAAGCCAGAAAGATAAAGACCATTACAGTATACTAACACATATATATGGAATTTAGAAAGATGGTAACGATAACCCTATATGCAAAACAGAAAAAGAGACTCAGATGTATAGAACAGACTTGTGGACTCTGGGAGAAGGCGAGGGTGGGATGTTTCAAGAGAACAGCATCGAAACATGTATATTATCTAGGGTGAAACAGATCACCAGCCCAGGTTGGGTGCATGAGACAAGTGCTCGGGCCTGGTGCACTGGGAAGACCCAGCGGGATCGGGTGGAGAGGGAGGTGGGAGGGGAGATCGGGATGGGGAATACATGTAAATCCATGGCTGATTCATGTCAATATATGGAAAAAACCACTACAATATTGTAAAGTAATTAGCCTCCAACTAATAAAAATAAATGGAAAAAAATAAAAAAATAAAAAAATTCTAAAAAAAAATAAATGGAATCATACAATATGTGGTCTCTCCTATTTGACTTCTTTCACTAAGCCTTATGTTCTCAAGGTTCATTCAAATGATAACGTGTATCAGTACTTCATTGCCTTTTAATGGCTACATAGTATTCCACTGTATGGCTAGACCCTGTTTTGTTTATCCATTCATCAGTTGATGGGCATTTTGGTTGTTTCCACCTTTTGTTTATTATGAATAATGCTGCCATGGGCATCTGTGTATAAATTTTTATGTGATCAGAGTTGCCTTTTTTCTTTTGACTATATGCAAATAGGAACTAAAAGGTGTTTTTTTTGGGCGGGGAGGGCTGTTAATTTCTTGTTAATCTGTGCGTAATAATCCAGCACATAGGCTTGGGTTTGTACATCAGCCTTACATTGCTAATACTAAATCACTCCTCTTCAGCTTTGGTTTCTTCCTCATTATAAAGGAAAGATAAGAGAATTGACCTTTAGGGTTGTTGCTGCTGCTGCTGCTACGTCGCTTCAGTCGTGTCTGACTCTGTGCGACCCTATAGATGGCAGCCCACCAGGCTCGCCCGTCCCTGGGATTCTCCAGGCAAGAACACTGGAGTGGGTTGCCATTTCCTTCTCCAATGCATGAAAGTGAAAAGTGAAAGTGAAGTCGCTCAGTCGTGTCCGACTCTTAGTGACCCCATGGACTGCAGCCCACCAGGCTCCTCCGTCCATGGGATTTTCCAGGCAAGAGTACTGGAGTGGGTTGCCATTGCCTTCTCTGTTAGGAAAACAAAAATAAAATGTGTGTGTGTGTGCGTGCTCAGTCGCTCAGTTGTTTCTGACTTTTTAATGGTCCTACGGACTATAGCCTGCCAGGCTCCTCGGTCCATGGGATTCTCTAGGCAAGAATACTGAAGCATGTTGCCATTTCCTCCTCCAGGGGATCTTCCTGACCCAGGGATCAAACCAACATCTCCTATGATTCCTGCATTGAGGTAGATCACTGAGCAACCAGGGAAGCCCAAACATGAAATAATTAATGTTAAATTTTTAACACAGCTCTAGACACAACCTTGGCCAGAGATATATATCATTATTGTTGCATAATGGTAACATGGAGCAGGGTGGATAGGGTGGGATGTGGGGAGGTGGGGAACACTCAGAAAACAGTGGATTACAACTAACTCATCATGCATACACTTATGTTTTAATTTTTTTCAGAACAGTCCTTCCCTATTGGCTGCCTTCCAGATCCAAGATGGACTCTATTTTAGAATCTACTCACCCCACTGATGCTATAACCAGAGTCGGCGTACATCACGATCGGCAGGACCCGCTCATGTTTGGCAAAATGGAAGCGTTCTGGAAATTCCTCCTTCTTGTACACATTGAGGTGAGGATGAGCATTCTTCAGTGCTTGGTAAACGGCTTCCTCTTGCCCCAGTTTGGGCAGGAGCATCCCAAAGCCGCCGTAGTCCACGATGTCAAACTGGACCAAGTCCTTGAAGCTGATGTAGTTGCTCAGGAGGATCTCGGTGATGTTGGGCTTCTTTTTCATGGTGGTCATGCCGTGGTCTGACGTGATGATGACATTGAGGTGCTCAGTCAAGCTGTGCCTCCTGATGGCTTCCAGTAGGTACCCGATGGTTCTGTCGATTTGCTGTATCATTGCCCTCCTTTTCTCCGTGTCAGGTCCATAGAGGTGTCCCACGTTATCCGGCTCTCCATAGTACAGGGTCACAAAGTCAAAGTCTTCCTTGGTGAACCAGTTCATGACGATGTCGATGTTCTGTCTCCACTCTGTCTCGTTGCCATTTGGGTGGGTGTATGACTCCACCAGGGACCGCTGGACAGCCTCCCCTTGGTACTTGGCGCCTCCCCCGGGATAGTGGAATGACGCCGTTTTCCTCCCCTGCAAGTGCAAGAATAAAAGCCTGTTAGAGCCGTTTCTTCTGTCTTTCTCATCATGTGCAAAGCCCAGCATGTCGGCAGCCCTGTCCCAGTCCAGAAACATGCATAGAAAACATGTGGGCCCATGTTTGGAGGCAGATGAGGTTGGGCTTCATTCCTGGCATCACCAGGATCTCCTGGAATCTAAAACACTGATAATTGTGAGACGTGCCCTTATTTTATGCACTTCTATGAAGAAAAATGCTGCCAGTGAAACCGCTGACACTTCAGTGACTGGAAGATGCATTCCAATTTGGGATGGACAAATGAAAAAAAAAAAGTTCCTTAGATTGGAGGAGAAATGATACTTTCTAAACTGGTGACGGTGAGTGAGTTCTTTAATCTCGTGGTGCTTCAGTATTTCTACCTGTAAAATGCCAAGAAGCTGATGGGACTTTCTTGAGGATTAATCCAGGTAGCTTTAAGATAAAGTGTTGGGCATTGTGTTTTGGCTCTTGGCAGGCACTCTTTTCATTGCCTCTAGACCTAACAAGCCACCACAGGCCTTCCCCAGTGTGTCCAGTGTGTGCAGTGGACAGTAAATACGTTTGCCTGCCCAGTGCCACTCCACTGTCTGCAGGTTTGGAGCATCTGACATCCCCCTGGCGGCTCTCCTCCCTGCTCTTGCTCCACGCCTGGTTTGGGGTGTGTTGGTTCCACATCAGGCTCCAGAAGTGGGGTGTGGCTCTGGGCTGGCCAGTCAGGGAACACTGTGTCCCCTGGCCACAGCAGTTGGTTGAGCCTTGGGCCTGTGTCCCAGCCAGAGTCAATGAGACCTGGGGACTCCTTCTGGGGCTGTTAGAGATGAAAGAATCTACCTAGCTGTCCCCATCTCTAATGTTTATAGAATTTGGGGTGTTTACAAAAGCAGAGGCTGTCATCTTATTCCCTGTGCAGATGTCTGGTTGATGCCGGACCCAGAGGCAGACAACAGAACAGTTAAAGATGTGCTTATTACTGGATTGCCTGGGTTTATGTTTTCTCTTTCATTTGGATGTGTATTACCCAAATGCTCTCCACCTCTGTTACCTCATCTGTAAAGTGGGGTTGTTAACGCCACCTCATTGGGTGGTTGCAGGGACTAAATGCACATGGAGCACATTGGTAAGCGATCAGTGAGCTCAACTTTTATCTTTCCTGGAGAGGAACAAAGAACATTGGGCTCAACCGCACGGTCAGCTGAAGAGGGGCAGTGATTATTTCCTCCAGTTTCTGTCTCCTGAGGGGCATTTAAGGTGGAACTGAAATGTGCCTGTAGACCCCATGGTTGGAGTCTGCAGAAGGAAGCTGAGACTGGTCATGGCAGGAACGGCTGCAGCAGGGAGCGTGGGATTCCTCAGCTCTGAGGAAGGTGGTGGGTCATCCATGAAATTCTGCTGAATCTTGCAAGGCCTGACCAGGGGTTGCTGCTTGACCTTGAGTCTGTTGTCAGTGGCCCAGCCACCTTCACCCTCTCTGTCATGTTGTGGGACACCAGGCAGGGCACTAGATTACAGCCAACAGAAAAAGAGCCCTGGCCTCCTTAAAAGCCGTCATGGGAGGAGCTGCTTGTCTCTTCCCTGTCCTTGTCTCCAGTGGGTAAATCGGGGAAAGAGGGGTGGGGTGGGGGCTCGAGAGAGTGGACCATGGGTCACGTTCCTTCTTTTCCAGGCAGCTGGGGCCACTAGAGAGTCTGTGGTGGGGTAGGGAGCATGCTGGGGATCAGAGCTTTGACTTGGATCTGAGATGAAGGTTTCACCATGAGCAGAACTGAGTCTTCAGACTGAAAATGAGGCTGTGTTAACAACACAAGTAATTTCAAAGTCGTGAAAATATTAAGTGATAATGCTCCTCAGCAGAAAGATGTTTTTGTTTTTTGACAAAGGCTGGTAAAATTGTTAGGAAAAGAAAGTAATTTTATGTACACTCGCCAGTGAGTTGACAGTAAGATGGACCCATCTCACTAAATAGGTTGTAAAGCAGCTCCTCGACCAGGACTGGGAACATAGTAGGCACTTGATAGATTTCTGGTTCCATAAATGACTGACCTGCTTATTTGGGGAGCAAGTACTTTCCTTTATCTTGGCTGTTAACTTGAGGGCTGTTCTGTGACTCTTCTAATTTTAGTATATGTGCTGCCGAAGCGAGCACTGTGACTCTTCTTGTTCGCCCAAGATTTAGATATTCTGAAAAACTCTGTACAGTTCAATGACTTTAGTAGAGCCAGGAGAGGATGCTGGTGTAATGGTGTCAGTCTGGTATAGAGAATAAATTATGGGAAGAATTGTGGGATATTAGCACTTGGGTCATGGCTATGTGGCCTACAACTGGGCAGAAAAGTATAACCAAGCATAATATCAAACTTACCATGTACTGTTTGAGAGAGAGAAGCAGGTAAGCTATTTGGAAGTTGGAGGAGATGCCGTTGGAGCCCCATCCAGATCCCCTTATTGGGCCTGTGCACCCACATCCATTTCTGTGAGGGTGGCTGCTAATGTCTCACTATTCCTCCATGTTCTGGAAAAATCCCTTTGCCAAGTGGCCAGACCTGCCTCACCCGAGTAGGTAGCCTTTCCTGCTCCTTTGTCCTCAGCAGCCCACAGCCAGTGACCGGCAGCAGGACATAAAGCCAGCTCCCTGGTTTCAGGGTGGGATAACATGGGGGTGAAATTCATGTTCCTGTGCTCCTGGGGCATCAGGCTGAAGCTGGTGTATAGCAGAGGCCACATCTCACTTAGCTCCTTCTCTTGCTACGTCAATTTTCCTTACTCCCATCTCCTGAGAGCTCTCTCTCTTTATGTTACATGCACTGCATCCCTGCCTCAGGCTCTGCTTTTAGGAGGCTTGACCCAAGACAGAAGTCCTAACACTAAGCGCTTTGCACAGTTCCAGAAGCTCTACTGTCCATAGCTGTAGGTGAAATATTGTCCCTTCTGCCCTCCAGCATTCATTTCCTATTTTGGATCCGGTTTTATTTTCTCTAAAGCATTTTCCCCAACCTGAAATTACCTTAATTTGCTTGCTTTGAGAACTGTCTAGTTCCCTCCTCTAGGAAGTGTGGCTGTTCTTGTTGAATGCATTTTTCCTGGGACCTAGGACAGGCCTGGCTCAGACTTAAGTGCTGACTGCTGATTAAGTACATGCTGAATGAATACATGAATCACATCTCCTTTTAGGGGCAGAAAACACACCTTCTTCTCTCTTGATTAACTTATGGAAATAGTTTCAGAAATGCTTTCTCTTTTGGGTTCTAGTATCTTATTTGTAACCTCTACAGGTAACACATTTTCCTTTCTGATAATAAGAATTTCTATGGTTGCTTTAACTTGCAAATCCTCTAATATTTATTTATTGCATTTCTGATTGGCATTAGACATAATTCTCAGTTTTTAGTGATGGTAGTTTGTTTAACTCTAAGTGTAAATTGACTTTTCTCTCAAGCATGGATTGACTGGAAGGATGAAACTTTTAACGTTTTGTAGAACACAGTTTGGCTATTTTATTATTTAGAATAAGCTGACATTGACATTGTGTGGGACTTAGGCAGCACTGCATATTAGTTAAGTTCCTAGGTATTAGCCTGTTAAATCTCGGATGTTCCCAACTTGAAATTATTTTCTCGTGCTATATTCTTAACACATACTCTTTCTTTAAAGGTGTCCAGACTGTAGTCTTAGGAAGCTATGGTTTTTCTCACTTGGTCCCACAGAGATTGTAGGATTTATGATGCTTTGTGAAACGAGCTCCAGAGAGAAATATATATGTAGCATGTGTATACACACACACACACACATACACACACACTTGACTGTTTATTTGGGATCTACGATAATCAAAAGTGCTATTTTCAACAAATACTTCTGAGAAACAATCTGAGCACTTAATTGGATGCAAAAGAGTGGGTATTTACTATTCTACCCTTTAATTAGCATAATCAGTGTTTCCAGAAGCAATAGCAATTGGAAAATCGCTAGTTTTATTAGGTGCATTATTCTTCCTTAGTGTACTATTGCATCAGTATGGCTATTACTCTTAAGCTGCTGCTTTAAAACGAGAGTTGATACTTCTTAGGGCAAAGCCTGAGTGTTGGGCTTTGTATAGAATCTACAGAACTCTTCAGGGCTTCCCTTGTGGCTCAGACAGTAAAGAATCTGCCTGCAATGCAGGAGACCTGGGTTCGATCCCTTGGTTGGGAAGATCCCCTGGAAAAGGAAATGGCTACCCACTCCAGTATTCTTGTCTAGAGAATTCTATGAACAGAGGAACCTGGGAGACTATAGGCCATAGGGTCGCAAAGAGTTGGACACGACTGAGCAGCAAGCACTTCGCAGAACTCTTCAGAACCAATCATTAGTGACGGAGTTTCAGTTTGGTTTTCTGTTTTGTCTTGTCTCTTCTCTTAGTGGACAGAATTAATGTCACCAAGGTGTATAGGTTTTAGGAAGGCCCCTGAAGTGTTCATCCCATTGTACTTTGGTGGAGAGTATGTTTAGTGGTTTAGGTAAAGGAGTTAGTTACATGTTCTCCAGAATGACTGACTGGAAAGAGATGGACTCCATGTATTGAGTTGGTCAAAAAATTTGGGTTTTCTGTAATATCTTATGGAAAAACCCAAACAGACTTTTTGACCAATCCAATACTTGAAATCAGAAGTTGGTTCTGAGTGATTTCATTGCTCTTCTGTGTTCTGGAGGCGTCACTGAACAGAAAGAATAGAGAGGGCCAAGAGTCTGTATTTTACCCCCTCCCATGCCCTTTTGGAGGTCAGAGTATTATTCTCAGAACCTTTATGATGCGTGATAGAGACACAATTTGCACCAGTACTGGGATGCATTATGTTTCTATTAATGCTCTTCTAAGCAAAAACTATTGGCACCCTCTTTCTCACAGCTTTTCCAAGTTTGGAAGCTTTTATCTAGGAGATCTGGCTGACACTGAGAACCTTAGCTGCCCTCCCCACCGTCTCTCCACATCCCCTCCTGGTGGCAGCCTACCGTGGTCCTGTTACAGACTCTTGGCAGACATGGGTATCTCACCCACACCATTTCACATCTTAATACTCTCTGTGTCTCCTCCATAAGAGGAGAAACATGCCCCTAGGTTTTCATGGCTTCTCAGGTGGTACAGTGGTAAAGAACCCATCTGCAATACAGGAGACCCAGGTTCAATTCCTGCATCAGGAAGATCCCCTGGAGAATGGAAGGGCAACCCACTCCAGTATTCTTGCCTGGAGAATCCCATGGACAGAGGAACCTGGTGGACTACAGCCATGGGGTCACAAAGAGTTGGACACGACTGAGTAACTAACACTTTCACTTTCCTGGGTCTCACAGCTATAGCTGCCTGCCTTTCTCTGAGAATTAGGACTTCTGAACTTGGTGAAACACCTCAGTCATTGATCAGGTTCCATTATCCCAGAAGCTTGTTTAAAATCCCAGCCTGCTCTCTGGAACTTCCCCAGTGGTCCAGTGGTTAACACTCCCAGTGCAGGAGGACCTGGGTTCGATCTCTGGTCAGGGAGCTAGATCCAGCATGCTGCAACTAAAGATCCCGCATACTTCAACGCAGATCCTGCACACGGCAGTGAAGATCACGCATGCCGCAACTAAGAAACCAGTGCAGGCCAAAAAAATTCCCACCTTGCTTTCAGTGGGGCCTCTCCATTCATAGCCTGACCGTTAGGGAAGTCCCGATGGTGTGAGTATAGACTTGTGGACTGTGGAGATTGGATGCAAAGGTGGTTGAGAATCCCATCTCATAGGCATCATCTGCCAAGAGACGCTGATTCTCATGAATCTTGATGGACTCTGGCAGTGTTAGTGTCACTGAAGAAAGACATTTTAGTCCTATTAAAGGTTAATGCATCAGTATCCACAGAGCCTACCTGGAAGAGACTCAGAAGAGGGATGGATTTTCCCAGTGATGGATACAGGTTGGGCTGCCCTCCTGCAACCCCGCCTGGCAATGCAAATGCGCCCACCCAATGGCATTTGGCATTTGTCACTCTGTTTCGGGGAGGGGGTGCTGACCTGGGACCACCGGTTTGCTCTGATTACAGGAGATTTTGTACCAGTTCCTCAGGGAGTTGGCTGAATGGCCTTCCTGGGCAGGATGCGATACACCAACTTGACATTTGCTTGCCAAGCAAGTGGTGTGTTGTCAGCTGCCTGGCCCTGCACCAGATCCTCATTTTGCACAGCCACTTATAATTCAGCAAAGAGGAAAAGCACTCTGATTATGAATTGAGCAGGAGGAAAAAAGTCCTGCAAATAAATGACAAGGAGACAAGAACCATGCATAAGAAAGTGCCAGGAAGGGAGAATGCCACCAGAAGCCTCATGCTGGTGAACAAATTCTGTAGCAAGAGAGGCTCTGGGTTTTGAATAGTGAATTAATCAGGGCTATACAGACATTCTTAGCATCCCAGCAGATACAAGAATCACTCTGAAGTCCATGACTAAATGCTTTGGCCACAGAAGAAATATTATGTCATGGTGAGAGTTAGAGAGTTGCTGAACCCAGAGTGAGTTCCAATCCCAGCCCTGCCTCTCACTAGTTTTGTGACTTTGAGAAGTTACGGTGTCACTTGGTGCTTCGGTTTACTCATCTGTTAAAGGGGCATAGCCTTAGCACTACCTCTGCTGCTGCTAAATCACTTCAGTCGTGTCCGACTCTATGCGACCCCATAGACGGCAGCCCACCAGGCTCTGCTGTCCCTGGGATTCTCCGGGCAAGAACACTGGGATGGGTTGCCATTACCCCAGGGTTGTGATAAATTAATATATGTAAAGCTCTTAAATCAGTCCCCGGCACATAGTGACTGTTACAGATGTTATTTTTATTGGAAGGACACAGTTTATTTGCATGGTCTATTCCTCAAAATTCAAAAATGTGACAAATTGGGGAAGGAAGCTAGAGCACACAATTAGGGGGAGAAAATGAACCTGAGGTAGAGAAGCGTTGTGGCCAGCCTCCTGTGGCTCTTCTAGAGCTGTGTTGTCCCGTATGGGAGTCCCACCTGTGTAGTATCTAGATTTAAATTGAAACTAATGAAAATGAAACACAAGTAAACATTCAGTCCCTCAGTCTCACTCGCCAGCCACATTTCAAGGGCTCAGTTACCACCTGTGGCTCGTGGCTTCCGTATTGGACCATGCGGAATAGAACATGTCCATCATCACTGAATGTTCTATTGGATAGTTTTGGCCTAAAGCTCTAGTGACCAGCTGAAGTCCTGCTAAGATGTCTCAGCTTCCATTCATACATTTCGAGCAGTGAGCGCTAAGCAACTCACATGCGTTATTACAGTTAGTCCTCCCAATGAGCCTGTGAAGCATGAACTCGGACAACCTTCATTCTAAGGGTGGGAACAAATGAAGCAGAGAGCAGAGGTCCTTGCCCGAGGTGAGGCTGTGGGAGAAGGGTGGGGCTGGCTGGATCCTGCTCTGGGAGTCAGAGTCCACAGCCTGTGTTCTGAGCTGCTGCAGTCACACCCCTTGGCCGTGTAGAGTGCACAGTGTGGGCTGGGAGCACAGAGAGGAAGGGTCAGGACTAGGGAAGCTTGGAGCCAAGGCTGGTGTCTTGGGGGAAGAGGAGGAGGATCTGTTCTGGAGTGATGACTTTGGAAGCTCACAGAGAAACACAAAGCTGGTGATAGGCATGGGGCTTGGAGTTCAACGTGCAACTGATTTCTGCCTTTTTGGAGCAATAGTGAATGGGTGCTGGGATAGTAATACTTTCAAGGGAATGTTCCCCTTAGAGCTTTTCATGAATTGAGTGGTCAGCTTTGCTCCTAAGGACTTTCATGCCTAAGCCAGAGGCAAGAGAGTAGATATTTATTAAAGAGTGGCTGGGTCCAGACCCTATGAACCCTGTAGGTACAGTCGAGATCATTCCGACTCTGCCCTCATGGGGACTTATCCATCCATAACAGCTAAAACTTGCTGAGACATGCATAAAGTACACATTGTATTTAATCCTTACACCAACTCCATTAAATGAGCACATTATCACAATGCCTGTGCCACATTTAGGGAAACAGGTGCTTAGAGAGATTAAGACCCTTGCTTAAGACCACGCAGTTTCTACCCCCACCCCCACCCCCAACATGCCTAGGAATGAGAGGTGATGTCCCAGGAAGTCAGCCCAGGGTTTCTGGCGATACCTGTCTCTGGGCTGTGATCCAGAGGGGGAGAACGCCATTGTCCCACCACTCAGTCTTGTTCTGTGTGGTCTTGAAGGAGTACTTCCAGAGTGTCTCTGTGTTAAACATCATGTTGTGAATGACTCCGTGATCTTCGATCCAGCGACCTTGGGAGTGAATAAAGGAGGGAAAGTATTGGTAAGTTCTGTGAGTGCTGCTGCCAGGGGTGTCCACGTGTTCTTAAGATGGCTCTTCCCAGCATCCTTCTGGTTGGCCTGCTTAATCCAAGGGCTGACCCTGTGGGCTTCAGACTTGTTTCTCTGGGGTGCAAATGTTGGCAGCCACAAAGGAAAGGTCATTATATCTCAGACCTGCCAGATTTTATCTGCTTCCTGGAACATAACCTCAGTCCTGGGGGAAGCTGGTGTTGGCTGTGGAAGCTGATGAGGGAGGCGGGAAGCAGGGCACAGGAAGGCCAAGTTCCTCGGGTTATTCTGCGTCCAGAAGCTAAGAGTCTGGGATTGGGACACTTCCTGTGCGATGGTTTTCCTCATTGGCTTGTGAAGACCTGATTTTATATGAAATTTCCAGTGGGCTTGAGTCCATGCAAACATCTCAGAGTTTCTCCCAGGATTCCCACAGGCTTGGCTGTTTGAGGGAATCAAGGGAATCAGGAAGGATTTGATTTTTTTGGTTTGTTTAAAAAAAAATTTTTTTTTTTTTTGGCCACATGGCATGTGGGATCTTAGTTTTCCTGACCAGGAATTGAACCCATGCCCCATGCATTGGAAGCATGGAGTCTTAACCACTGAACTGCCAGGGAAATCCCAGGAAGGGTTTCTAGACTTGTCAGTAGATGGAGGCAGACTTATTTCTCTCTGTTTAAGGGAGGAAGGCAGGTACTGGGGAATGTGAGTAAGCTAGGTTGTTGTTGAAAACATAGGGACTGAACCAGATATGGGAAAAAAAACCCTGTGATGTTACTTTGTACCAGGGAAAAGGGGACTGCACATGAGGGCCAGTCTAAAGGGGAGGTTGAAAGTTTCAAGGGGAGAGCTGAGGGTCCACGCCCCTCTCCTCCTGGGACGATGAAGCCTCTGGGTAACCCTGCTGATCATAAGACAGCGATGATCCTCCCATGTCCACAGTAAGAAGGACAGTCTGTGACTGGGACTTGGGGTCATGGGCACAGAGAAGGAAATGCTCTCTGTTGGATCAGAGTCACTGCCAGACTGCTGGTGGGTAAAGTCCCCCTAGGGTGGCCAAGGCCAAGGCTTTCTATGGGGAAGAAGCACAACCAGTTGTGGCTTTATTGTTTCTGCCTTGCAGGCCGGCCTGACAGCCAGCCAGGTGTGGGGTCACCAGAAATAAGTTGTGCTGCTGCTAGGGACTCGGGCCTGGAGGTGTCAAGATTCCAGGTCAGGGATCAGGTCAGAAAGTTGACAGGTGAAGAGCATGGACTTTGAATCCATGAGAGCTGAGTTCCCCTCCTGACTTGGCTTCTGAACTTGCTGTGTGCACGTGAACAAGCCTTGGTTTGCATGTGTAACAAGGGTAGGATCTGTGTGAAGGAATCATGGCACACATTCACCATCACGCCATATACCAACACACTTTTTCAGAGTACTTCAGGAACATTAGCTCATATGAAGCTCCCAATAGCCCTGCAAGGTGCGAACTATTACATCCCTGATTAGAGCTTTCACTCTTTGCTGGGAATGGAGGCACAGAGTTTGTTCAAGGTCATGTGACAGAGCTGGGGGTAGAATCTGTGAGGTTTAATTACAACTCCCTGCTCCCTCTACCTCCAGGTAAAATTCACATAAAACACTAGTGATAAAGAAGCCACCTGCCAATACAGGAGATGTAAGAGACATGAATTTGATCCCGGGGTGGAATTCTTCCCAGGTCGGGAAGATCCCCTGGAGGAGAACATGGCAACCCACTCCAGTGTTCTTGCCTGAAGAATCCCATGGACAGAGGAGCCTGGTAGGTTACAGTCCATTGGATTGCAAAGAATCTGACACAACTGAAATGACTTAGCGTTGGCAGCAGTGACATAAAACTAACCATTAACATTTTAAAGTGAACAATTCTGCAGCATTTAGTGCACTCACGATGTTGTGCAACCAGGACCTCTTTCTAGTTCTAGTACATTTTCATCACCCCAGAAAGGGACCCTGCCTATTAGCAGTCACTCTGCAGTGCTCCACTCCACACCTCCTGGTGGCCCCTAATCTGGTTTCTATCTCTATGGATTTATTTATTCTGGACATTTTATAGAAATGGACTCATTCAGTATGTGGTGTTTTGTGTCTCACTTCTTTCATTGAGCTTCATGTTTCCTGGCTTCATCCCTGTTGTAGCATGGATGTATACTCCATTCCTTTTAATGACTGCATAATATTTCATTGTCTGGATAGACCAGAATTTGTTTATTCATCCATCCATCAGTTGGTACACATTCGGGTTGTTTCTACTTTCTGGCTGCTGTGAATAATGCTGCTATGAACATTCATGAACAAGTCTCCGTTTGGGTCCTTGCTCTCAATTCTCTTGGGTAAATACCTAGGAGTACAATTGCTAGGTCATACGGTAACTCTATGTTTAACTTTTTGAGGAACCACCAAGCTATTTTCCACAGTGGCTGCATCATTTTACCTTCCCATTAGCAATGTTCAACACTTGCTATTTTCCTCTTTTTGATTATGTCCAGTATAGCAGGTGTGAGTAACTCACTGTGGTTCTGAATTGCATTTCCCAAATGCCTGACAATGTTGAGCTTTGCAGCCTGTGAATACTGTGAGTGAGAGTACTCTATTAGAAGCAGGTAGAGGTTGCATAGGCAAGAATCTTTGGAGCTTCACAAATAAATAACGGAAGCCTTCTGAAATCTATCAGGAGCCTTCTTGTTACAGCTTCCTGATGACTGAGCTATGTCATCGCAGCAGACGACATGGAAGCACAGACATAGACACCCAGGGAGCTCTCTTTTGCCTTTATTTTTTTAAAAAAAGCCTATAATATCCTGAATCCTGTTCTATGTGACTCTCTTCACCCAGGAAAGAGCAAATCACGTGGAATTACGAATGCCTACCATTTCACCCATTCTAGTGTTTCTCCATGGTATTGACTACCATCAACATTCGAATCAATTGAGTTGCTTGTTATAAACACAGATTCCTGGGTCCCCACTTTAATCCTTGCTGAATATAGAGTTGTGGGTGGGGGCCAGGAGTCTGCATTTTGACAGCCTCTCTGGGTGGTTTGAGTGCACACTGACATGTCGGAACCACTGGTTCAGGGACTGTTAGTCCTTCACACAGGCATGTGGATTCATTCCAGCAGACTGCCCCTTGCTCCAAACTCTGGGTTGACTGTAGCCCCACACCCTCTTCCCTAAGGGACCAGGGAGCCCTCAGACCCTGGATCACTCTGGTGTCTGGGGAAATGTGGGGGTGGGGGTGCCCCTTGCTCCAAACTCTGGGTTGACTGTAGCCCCACACCCTCTTCCCTGAGGGACCAGGGAGCCCTCAGAGCCTGGATCACTCTGGTGTCTGGGGAAATGTGGGGGTGGGGGTGTCCAGAGCCACTAGGAGGACATGGGAGGAGGGACTGGAGGAAGCCAGTGCAGGAGATGCAAGTGACGTGGGTTGATCCCTGGGTCAGGAAGATTCCCCTGAAGGAGAGTGTAGCAATCCACTGCAGTATTCTTGCCTGAAAAATGCCATGGACAGAGGAACCTGGTGGGCTAGAGTCCATAGAGTCAGAGAGTCAGACGCGACTAAAGCGACTGAGCATGCACACACACACTGCAGGCACAGAAGCTTTCTCCTCCTGCACCCTACACATTCTGGCTTCCATGCCCTGGGACCCAGAAGTCAATTATAACGTAAGTTAAGTAGGCTAACCAATCATTGCATCCATTTCTCCCTCAAAATAATGTTACCTGAGTTTCAAACAACTAACCTAAAATGAGCTTGGGGAGCATGACCCTTCCATTCTGTGGCATGGCTCATTCCAGTGATTGTACAAAAGGAATCGGCTCCGTGGTGTTTGGGTTATTCCCAACCCTGACACTTAAAGGCAACCCAACCGGTGGCCGGAGACCACTCATCACCCAGCAGAGGTTTCCATTGCCTTGTCGGTTCCTCCTTCTTGCTGTTCAGACCTCTTTATCCTTGTCAAAGGCCAATTCTGGGATGGGAGCAAAACGAGACAGAAGAGAGGGGAAGCTAGGAAACATGCCGCTGCTGGGAGCAGCCAGCACGGTTTTACTTGAATTGCATTTTCTCTGCATTATACTCTGGGGCTTCCCCGGTGTCACAGTTGTAAAGAATCCGCCTGACAATGCAGGAGATGCAAGAGACACAGGTTCGATCCCTGGATTGGGAAGATCCCCTGGAGTAGGAAATGGCAACCCACTCCAGTATTCTTGCCTGGAGACTCCCATGGGCAGAGGAGTCTGGCAGGCTACAGTCCATGGGGCCACAGAATTGGATATGATAGAGTGAATGAGCGTGCAATACATTCTCTGGAGACAATTGGGAGGACCTGGCTGGGACTACTGCGTGAAGGCAATAAACGCAGTTATCTGTGCTTAGACTTCCAGAGCCTGCTGGTTTCACATGATGCTGCACAAGCGGAGTGTGTGTGTGGGGCGGATGGCTGGGCTTTAGCCCTTGATCTCTCTCCAGACCTCAGTTTTCCTGTCTGTAGAACCAGTGGGGTTAATGGTTTCCAAGGGCCTTCCAGGCTCCATCATTCTGAGAGTCTGTCATCACTGTCATTTCAGTGTCTGGTGAGGAGGGTAATTATGCAAGTGAAACAGGAAGTAGGATGAGCTCTTCTAGTGAATGGGATTCCTGCTGCTTGCTAATTACACTTTAATTAGGGTACAATGCAGACTCCCACACTGTATCAGTTATGGCAAGGTGCTGAGCGTTTCAGGTCTGGGAGCAAACCCAGCTAGATTCAGCTCCTTCCCCTGGTTCTCTGGGACTAATGTGTATTTATTTCTCAAATATGGTTTAGGAAACCAGAGTTGAATTCTCCCCTTCTCAGATATTTTGAACCAAGTACTGTGGTAGACTGTCTCATGGTATTTATACTCTAGGGGGCGGGAGAGAGTTAAAAATAGAATGTGTTCTGGGTGCTTCTAATACTC